ATTGCAAACATATAGTTTTTATTGCGCGGAACCCCCCGTTAGCGACAAACTTGGCCCCGATAGCAAGGGAGGGCATGGAAGGTTCCAGGGAAAATGCGGGGTTAAATAACACTAATGATATAACAAACTGTGAAAATAACCATGGTTATTCACATGACTTTCCATTGCAGGGGGCTGTGCCCCCTGCGACCCCTCCTTGGGGGGCTGCCGCCCCCCAACCCCCGCTGAGGAAACAAAACCTCCACCCCATATTCCCGGCAGGCTAGAGCGTTACAAAATTATCGTCGATCTGGGAGCAGCGGACGTATCACATTTACCTCGTAACATTCCCACTGAATCAGCATACTAACCTTGACATAGTCTTCATTGTATAGAGACGATTGTAGTATAATCACGATGAACGGGATATACCATGAACAGAACAGCGGCCTCGTCGGCATGTTTTGCGCCTCTCTCGATGTTACGCCGATGGCCTCAAGGTCGAGTTTCCCGTCCCCTGGAACCACGATTTTCGAATTCCTAACCGAAATAACTGCCGCGTTCAGTACTTCGCCATAGCCGCCGCGATGACCGAGTGTGGAGGGTGCTCCTCCTAGGTACCAGGTTATGGTAGGGGAAGTTATCGGCTCCGCATCTAGTTCGTGTGCGCTCTTTCCTGCCGTGAATATGTGGTGGATATTTTGTTTTCTCGGCGGGGGTTGGGGGCGGCAGCCCCACTGGGGGGGGGGGGTCTCAGGGGGCGCAGCCCCCTGCAATGAAAAGTCATGTGAATGACCATGGATATTTTCACTGTGGGTTATATTATTAGGGTAATTTTCTATATTATGTCCGCCGCTCCGGCCGCCGCTCCGACATCGTCGCCCCCGATATAGGGCCCAAGTTTGCCGCTAACAAGGGGTTTCCGCGCAATAAAATCTACATATTTGGATTGTACAGAGTGAGAGGAATCCAACGATACCCAAATCGTCAAAATTACTATATTACGTCCGCTGCTCCGGCCGCCGCTCCGACATCGTCGCCCCCGATATAGGGCCCAAGTTTGTCGCTAACAAGGGGTTTCCGCGCAATAAAACCTACATATTTGGATTGTACAGAGTGAGAGGAATCCAACCATACCAAAATCTTCGATATCGGAGAGGCGAAGGTAACAGAAAATTATCATACATACATACATATATATATATATATTATATATATATATTATATATATATATATATAGGTATCAGAATTTATAAGACAATTTATAAAGGTGGTAATGATCAATAAAAGGTGATGATGATTCACCAGGTGGTGATATAGAAACTATTTTATGTAAAACTCATTAGTGTTGCCTCAGTTCAGCAGATAACGCTCTGTGATTGGTCGATATTTTCCCGAGTTAACGCTGATTGGTCGATCGAGCCGTTCTTTTAGGAAATAAAGCCCTACGACACCTAGCGATAGAAAATTCGGTCGTTACGGTTACGAGACCCCTATGCTCTCGCTGTTTGGCGTTTGAAAATGGGTCGTAACGTCGCTAGTTGAGAAATCGTTGATAGTTCTCGTAACTGTTACGAGAGACAGCATTTACGAGAGAGTTTAGTAAATCCGGCCCCTGGTGGGCAGGATCATCCTGAGGGAAGCGAGCCAGGTGGCCGTTTAGCCTGAGTTGGCGATTCCAGATTGTGCAGGTAACAGGTCCTGTGTCTCATGGTGCAACCGTTGGTTGGACACGTGGTCCCGACAGTACCCCATGATCCGGCACAAGGACCTATTACAAAAGGCATGAAGTCGAGACTCTAAGGCGCAGGACAGTGTCCAGGTTTTACTACCGTATACCAAACTGGCACTATCAGGGCCTTGAAGACACGTAGCTTGGTCCTACTGCACACGTACTGGCATCTCCAAATACTCTTTTCGAGAGAGTTCATGACCCCTGCTGCCAGGCCAATCAGTCTGCTGATTTCCTGGTCTGACAGCCCAGAGTTATGAACTACACTACCAAGGTACGTAAAGCTCTCTGTGACTTCAATGTCCTCACCGCAAGCATGTACCAACTTTACAGGTTCTCCTAGTAAGTTCCCAAAGTCCTGGATCTTGGTCTTGGTCCAGGAGACTTCTAGACCCAAGGGCTTCGCTTCATTACTAAATGCATCGAGAGCCACCACTAAGGATTCCAAAGACTCAGATAGAATAGCAGCATCATCAGCAAAGTCAAGGTCGGTAACCTTGATATTGTCCAGAGTTGCTCCACAATGACTTTGAACAGTAGCTCTGCCCGGTATCCAGTCCATGCAAGAACTCATGGCGGTGCTCTATAATGACTCGAAGCGCAAGAATACGGTCTATTGTGGACTTACCAGGAGTGAATCCATATTGCTCCGGCCTCTGATGCGTTAGTAGGTGGTCTCTGATACGTCTCAGTAGGATGTGTCAGGGGGAACGGTACTAGACCGCCAGATGGCAGCCAGGACAACATGCAAACCCTGCGCCATAGGTTCACCACCAGTCTTTAGTTCAGCTGGGATAACGCTTATACCAGCTGCTTTACCACTCTTCAGCTTGGAGATCGCCCCCCCTAACTTCGGTTAGGGAGGGGGCATCCTCACTGATGGGTGTTTCCGGCTACAGAATCTCGGCACTACCCGCATCCAAGTTAGCTGTTGGTGGGTCAACCTGGTACAACTGCTCAAAATACTCAAAAACCGCATCTGAGATGATCTGGCCACCTACTACGTGAACTGCTGTCACCTGTGAAGAGGGCTTGGAGTTCAGCTTTCTCAGGCCTTGGTATGCAGGACGGTCATTTACTAAGAAATGGCCTTCTGCCTCCTCTACAAGACTCCTAATAAACGGTTCCTTGTCCCTTCTTAACAGTGACCGAGTTCTGCGCACTTGGGAATAGTGCAAATCCTGATTCCCTGCCAGACGAGCCGCACGGCATGCATCTGTGGCTTCCAGTGTCTCCTGTGAGATTGGGCGTTCACCAAGAGTTTCGCATTTGAAGGTGTCCCACAGAAGTACAGGGTCCGTTAGATTGTCGAGCGCTGTGAAACGACTAGAGACTGCTGGGGTGATCATTGGACTGCTGGGGTTTTTGAAATGGACTCGGAGGGTAGCCACAACCAATCTAAGGTCAGTACCACAGAACTCAGCACTCCTGTACACCCTGCAATTCTGGAGGATCCTCCAACGAGTGCTAACGAGCATGTGGTCGATCTCTTTGGCTGCATTACCCACATCGCTGTACCATGTCCAGTGATGTGGGTCTGGGCACTGGTACCAGGAGCCAGAAATCCTCAATTTCTGGGACCTAGCAAAGTCCCGGACTTTATACACACACACACACACACACACACACACACACACACACACACACACACACACACACACACACACACACATATATATATATATATATATATATATAATATATATATGCGTGTGTGTGTGTGTGTGTGTGTGTGTGTGTATACACACACACACACACACACACACACACATATATATATATATATATATATATATATATATATATATATATATATATATATATATATATATATATATATATATATATATATATATATATATACATATACACAATAGAAAACGCACAAGTCAGGAACTCGCCCATATCGGATGACTTTTTAGCGTTATTCCAGTGAAAAATAATCGCGTAAGTCAGACACAGTAAGTCAGATTTTCGGCTATCTCGAATGAACTGTAATGGTCCCGTCTAATACATTTCCATTTAAATTTTGCGTAAGTCGCACAGGTCTCCTGTTCTTTGAAACGACTTTACAATAGATCAAGGAGCACATTCTCCTTTGCAGAGGCTTGCTGCTCTCTAACACTTCCCTAGCTTATCTCCCGATCTCCTGGAAAATGGAATAATTTCAACGAGGAAACACCAATAATAAATACAGAATACAGGTGTACATACAGGGCATGAAGAATCAAGTGAGCTATGTACTCCTGACACGTCAAGGTGTTGCCCCACAGGGTCGTCGTTTTATGACGACCCTGTGGGGCAGTACCTAAACTTGATTATAACTCGGGTTTTATCGGAATTATACATAAGTCGGATAAAAATCTCTGGGCCATTTGAATCCGACATACATTTTGTAAAGTATATATGTATATATATTTACACAGACACACACACATATATACATAAACATACATCATCATTAGAGAGTAAACAACGACGGGGTGCATAGCCGTATCCATCCTTCGTTTCCATCTATGAGGGTTCCTCATGGCGAGCTGCCAGGCAGGGCTTCAGTCCATCTCTAGTTCCTTACGACAGGTCTGATCACTCTCCCCAAACCACAAATTCCTAGGTCGTCCCACAGGCCTCCACCACCCGGGGTTGCCTCGAATACACAGTCTGGTGGACAGGATCGTCCTGAGGAAAACGGGCCAGGTATCCGTTTGGCCTGTCTGCAAGTAATGGGTCCTGCACGATTCTCAAGGTGTAACTGTTGGTTGGACACATAGTTCTGCCAACTGTATCCCAAGATCCAGCACAAGGACCTGTTACAAAAGGCATGAAGAAGAGATTCCGGGACGCAGGATAGCTTCTAAGTTTCACTACCACAGAGTAAAACTGGCAGTAACAGGGCCTGGAAGACACGTAGCTTGGTCCTTCTGCAGAGGAACCGGCATCTCCAAATACTATTGTCGAGAGAGTTCATTGCACCTGCTGATCTGACAGCCCAGCCATGAACTACTATAGATCTCTATGACTTTAATACCCTCGCTGCAAGCACATACCGACAGAGCAGGTTCCCTTGGCAGCTGCTTCCTCTTTCGCACAAGGCTCTCCAGCGGTGACAGCTGCAAGCGAGAAGATATGCAAAGTGAAGCGCATAGCACTAAGCTACTACACCATCTCTTCACATAACATTGAGGATGAACCACCTACCCATATGTATATATATATATATATATATATATATATATATATATAATATATATATATATATACGTAGACCCATATATACATACATACCTATATATATATATATATATATATATATATATATATATATATATATATATATATATATATATATATATAGATATAGATATAGATAGATATATATAGATACACAAAAAAGGTGTGAAACTAGATAACTAGCTTCCAGAGACATCACCTATCTATTCATGCACGAGTAATGATTGCGAAGTTCTGCACACACTTCCTGTGAACCCTCGATGGAAATTGATTTAGCAGTTCAAATCCTGTCACATGTACTGAGGTGTATTGATGAGATGGAATAATACACTATCGCATTGATATGTGTAGACCTTCGCAATTGTTACTCATGCATGGATAGAGGTAATTTCTATGGACGCCATTTAGCTCCTCGTGACACACTCATTTTAATGGATCATATGATACGATTGGTTAAGGATCAGTCTTGCAGTTTTATACCTGAAGTGACCCAGGTT